AAAATGGAATTCTGCTCAAAAACAAAATAATTAGCTGGGAGAGGTGGCACATGCCTGTAATCCTAGCTGCTTAGGAGGCTGAGGCAGGAGAATTGCTTGAACCTGGGAGCTGGAGGCTGCAGTGAGCCAAGATCATGCCACTGCACTCCAGCCTGGGCAATAGAGCAAAACCTCATCTGAAAAACAAAGAAAAATCAAAAGAAAGTACGCCTCTGCATTACACTAGTTCCCAAATTCATTTGACCCTAAAATCCCTTCTTTCCCAAGCATCATTTTGGGACTAGTTTATGGTTAAATGTCCTTTGTGACCATATGAGTGAATATTAGTGTCTGGGTATTAAGAAGCTTATAGTGACTATGAGATTGGAATACCTCTATAACTTTATTTATTTATTTTGAGACAGGGCCTCTGTCACCCAGGCCGGAGTGCAGTGTCGTTATCATGGCGCACTGCAGCATTGACCTCCCAGGCTCATGTGATCCTCACATCCCAACCTCTTGAGTACCTGGCACTACAGGCATGCACCACCATGCCCAACTGAATTTTGTTGTTGTTTTGTATGTTTTGTAGAGATGAGGTTTCATCATCTTGTCCAGGCTTGTCTCAAACTCCTGGACTTAAGTGATCCTCCAGCCTTGGCCTCCCAAAGTGCTGGCATTATAGTTGTCATCACTGTACCAGGCCAGCTTTATTTTTATTTTTTGAGATGGAGTCTCACTCTGTCACCCAGTCTGGAGTACAGTGGCTCAAACTTGGCTCACTGCAACCTCCTCCTCCCTGGTTCAAGCGATTCTCCTGCCTCAGGCTCCCAAGTAGCTGGGACTACAGGCACATGCCACCATGCCTGGCTGATTTTTTATATCTTTAGTACAGACGGGGTTCACCGTGTTAGCCAGCCTGGTCTCGAACTCCTGACCTCAGGTGATTCCCCCCACCTCAGCCTCCCAAAGTGCTGGGATTACAGGTGTGAGCCACTGTGCCTGGCCCTATTTTATTTTATTTTATTTTATTATATATATTTTTTGAGACGGAGTTTCACTCATGTTACCCAGGCTGGAGTGCAATGGCGCGATCTCAGCTCACCGCAACCTCCGCCTCCTGGGTTCAGGCAATTCTCCTGCTTCAGCCTCCTGAGTAGGTGGGATTACAGGCACGCGCCACCATGCCCAGCTGATTTTTTGTGGTTTTAGTAGAGACGGGGTTTCACCATGTTGACCAGGATGGTCTCGATCTGTTGACCTCGTGATCCACCCGCCTCGGCCTCCCAAAGTGCTGGGATTACAGGCGTGAGCCACCGCGCCTGGCCAATTCTTAATAAAAGAATAAAATTGCATGATCTGATCACAATGATTGTCAATTTTATTTCTTAGATATTTTGTCCTAAGTGAAAGGAGACTCTGAAAAGCCAAGCACAGGAGTCATGGGCTTTCTCTATGTTCTTCCCCAACATTAGAAACAACTTTGTTTTGGAATCTTGCTCATGAGGAATCCAAACACATAGTATAGATATTTTGTCCTAAGTGAAAGGAGACTCTGAAAAGCCAAGCACAGGAGTCATGGGCTTTCTCTGTGTTCTTCCCCAAAATTGGAAACAACTTTGTTTTGGAATCTTCCTCATGAGGAATCCAAACACATAGTATAGATATTTGGTCCTAAGTGAAAGGAGACTCTGAAAAGCCAAGCAGAGGAGTCATGGGCTTTCTCTGTGTTCTCCCCCAACATTGGAAACAACTTTGTTTTGGAATCTTGCTCATGAGGAATCCAAACACATAGTATAGATATTTGGTCCTAAGTGAAAGGAGACTCTGAAAAGCCAAGCACAGGAGGCATGGGCTTTCTCCATGTTCTTCCCCAACATTGGAAACAACTTTGTTTTGGAATCTTGCTCATGAGGAATACAAACACATAGTATTGAATGGTGAAGAAGAGATAAAAGATGAGGATGCACAGCAGGCTGCCTTCCCATTCACTTCCCTAGGCCAGTGATGTAGGCGTTGATCAATGCTGTGTGAGTGTTTTGTGGGGAAAGTCTGGCAACTCCCTCTAACAGTAGCAGCAGACTTTGATCCTCCTAAAAAGGTTCCCTTTGACCTGGTGGTGTGGTCAGATGGTAGGGCTTAATTCCCCCACCCTCACTGCCCTGGAAGTACTTGGTAATTATAAGAGAATATGCGGTCTTGAAGGAAGTACCATCAACAAAAATGTTCTTTGCAAAGAAAACAGCATTTTAATAGGTTTCTGTCTCTTGCCCCGCATCCACCCTTTAGAATGGTTCAGAACTAGGCTGGGCACGGTGGCTCATGCCTGTAATCCCAGCACTTTGGGAGTCTGAGGTGGGTGGATCTTTTGAGGTCTGGAGTTCAAAACCAGCCTGACCAACCTGATGAAACCCCATCTCTACTAAAAATACAAAAAAATTACCCGTGTGTGGGGGTGCATGCATGTAGTCCCAGCTATTCAGAGGCTAAGGCAAAGTAATCACTTGAACCCAGGAGGCAGAGGTTGCTGGGAGCCAAGATTGTGCCACTGCACTCTAGCCTGGGCTACAGAATGAAACTCCATCTAAAGAGAAAAAAAAAGTATAGATGAGGCCCAGACAGACAGCAGCTGAAGCCAAACAGAATTCTTAAGTATTTGGAAGCTTATGTATCCACATCTGTCTTTTTTCTTTTTTCCTGAGCCGTGGCCTAGCTCTGTTGTCCAGGCAGCTGGAGTGCAGTGGCATGATCTCGGCTCACTTCAACCTCCACCACCGGGGCTCAAGTGATTTGCTCACCTCAATCTCCCAACTAGCTGAGCTGGGCAAGAAAGAGAAACTCCATCTCAAAAAAAAAAAGTTCAGAACTTGAGGATAATCCACATTTCAGAGGTCCGTGAATATACAAAATGTCCCTGGATCCAGACCGGTGACTTCTAACTTGTGTGCGGTAGGAGGGCAGAGTCACGCTAGAACTTTTGTACTGGTCCTAAATAGTAGCTGTCTGCTATAATCCGTTGCTTTCTGATAAGCATGTCTGAATTGCTGCCCAAGGAATACTCTCTGGAATGATGAAAGAGATTTGCTAATGAGGGCTTTTTCTTTTGCAGCCTCCTAATTTTCCCTATAGAGATGATGTCATGTCAGTGAATCCTACCTGTTTGGTCCTTATTATTCTTCTGTTTATTAGCATTATCTTGACTTTCAAGGTAAGCATGAAGATTTTACTTATAGTCTAAAAATATTAAGTGTATTCCTGAATGCCAAAGAAGTAAACAAACTTTGGTCAGTTTATTGTCTTTCTTTGGACATCCAAATTGCTTTTTGATTTCCGAAGATAACAGTTCTTTATGTCTACATTAGAGGAAAGCACTAACCA